TAACCCATTTCCATTATTTTATATTTTACCACAAGGCTCATGGCCTCGGAACTGGCAAGATTCCAACTGACAGCTCGCATCTTTCCTCTCTGGCAGCTACATGGTGTCTCACGGCTCTGCCTTCTTTCTATCAGCATTCAGTTTAGTTTTCCCCACCTATCTCTATTCTGCTCTGCACAGACTCCAGACAGTTTCTTTATTAACCAATGGTATGCACACCATACATATGGGAGTCCCACATCAGAAGACAAACAAATGAGGCTAACTCTACAATTACATTTCAGGACCACAGTTCAGGGACCTCAGTGGAGCCAAATTCTCTGACATAAGTCTGAGGAGACCTAGCTGGCTAATATTCACAAGGCAGCATGCTGAGTAGAAGACAGTTTTGTGTTCTTCTGTGATGTGATGTGTTTAAAGCAAGGTCTATGGTAGCCTTGGAGTCTTTAAAGCTGTTAATAGAGGGGCATCAATGATCAGAGAGGCAAATTATTTATGATGCTTTTCTTTTAGTCTTGTTGGCATGACCAATGTTAGAGTGTTCCACTGGTGATAGTGACAGTGACTAAATACTTATCCTCCGTGAATGTCTTGTGTGGAACCAAGGCAAGAATATTTTGAAAACAGATGAGACAACACTAATTTAGTACAACCTTGACCTTGCTTAGACAAAGTTATGTGAAAACGTGAGGCATTTGGTTTATAGCTTTTCATTGTGTTGTTCAGCAGTGGCTCCTTTAAGTGAAAGCATTTGAATTAATTTTGTTATTGAGTCAAGAGTTCTGGTTTTAAAACTCACTTGTTTTCACAGATTTTAATGTTGTCAGTTCCTCGATTTTTTTTCTCAAAAGTAAAGGATAAATACTCTGATCAATGACAGTAGTTCAGAGGCTAAACAGCACTCAAGGTTGGTGGGGTTTTTTTTTGGTAATTTTTATATAAATTCAGAACTGACACTGAATTTTTCCTGAAGATGAAGAGTCTGCATGTAGATTGGCCTGTGGTGATCATACAGCAAAACCTGTATGAACCATACATTATTGATGGAGACAAACAATAAAAATATATGTGTATATGCATAGAGAGATAATTATAATATAACTTATGTAAATTATATTTTATTGACTAATTAAAGAAAAATAAAATATTATAAAACTGTAACATGAGGGGCTGACTTGTTGGGGTTTCTGTCATGCCCAGTACCTCACAGCCAGCAATTCCCAAAGAAAATAGCACAGAGTCTACATTAGGTTATAAACTGATTGGCCCATTAGGTCAGGCTACTTATTAGTTCTTATGACTTATCTTAACCCATTATTCTAATCTATGTTAGCCATACGGCTCAGTACCTTTCTCAGCTGGGAAAGTTACATGCTGCCTCTTCAGTGGTCTGCGCAGGAGTGTAGAGGGAGCTTCCTGCTTGCCAGAATACTCCCAGTCTCTTTGCTCCACTCCTACTTCCTGTCTGGCTTTCCCACCTATACTGCCTGCCTGGCCAATCAGCGTTTTATTAAAATATGATTGACAGAATACAGACAATTCTCCCACACCATAAAACGATCTATGAAATGATAGTTGTTTTGGAAGGTCAGCTTTGAGGAAGTGATATGTAAACAAAACTATTCATGAATGGAAAGAGCCAGAAAACTGTAGAAGGACCTCCTAAGTAGACATGCAGACTCAGGTAGGGATCAAAGATAACAAGGTTTTTAAAGACTCATTTCTACTACTTTTAATTATGCGTATGTGTGTATGCATGTGGGTAAGTGGAAATGAGCATAGGTGCCTGCAGAGCCCAGGAGCATTGGATTCCCCTGGAGCTGGAGTCACAGGTGGTTGTGAGCTGATTCACGTGGGTGCTAGGAACTAAACTCGGGTCCTCTGTAAGAGTAGTATGCTCTTAACAGCTGAGCCATCTTTCTGACACGGGTAGGATAGCAGATTTTTTAGCCTGTACAACTAGATTGATGGAAAGGAGTATAGAAAAATGCCAAGTTCTTTATTGGATATTTTGAAAATCCTATTGCACATCTGAGTAAAAGTATCAGGTATCAGTTGACTGTGTGATTCTGGAATTTATGGCCAATATTGATACCTGTTTTTAGTAGTTATTGATGTGTACATCCTAACAAAGGTCATGAGAGTGATAAAATCACCTGAGAGATGGGAGCTAAGGACTACACTGGCAGGAAAAGAGCAGGGTTGGTGATATGAATGGAAGTCAGGGTGGTCTAATGAAATCACAATATCAGAAAGAGGCAGGGAATCTCTGTCATAGTGTCTCATCTGTAACAGCCTATGGAGAGGTTCTTGATTAGGGCAGCAAATGGAGAGATGCTTTTCATTAGGGGCATCCTGTGGAATAGTGTTTCTCATCATGGGCAACCAATGAAGAGGGGTTTCTCATTGGGGCAGCATTGGGCAGCAGGCTTTTCTTTCATGGACATTTAAGAAGAGATACTTCTCATGGAGATAGCCTATGGAGAGATTCTTCTCATCCAGGGCAGCCAATGAAATAAACCCAGAAATAATTTGTTTTCAGGCTATTCCATCACACCCTGTCATATTGTCAGAGAGTAGGATCTAACTCTAGCTCTATGTCTAGCTCTAAAGGAATAGAATTAGTGCCTCGCCATCACAGGCAAGGATGGAACTGGCAGAGCACACCAAGCAAGGTTTTTGCCCATCTGCCACATGAAGCTCTTAAAGTACCTAGAAAATTTGGGAATCGTAGCTCTGTGAAGTTCAGAAGCAATGAAGTTCTTGTCTGTTGCTAAAACACGGACAGACCAGATGTTTCAAGAATTTGAAACATTCAGGTTTCGTGAATCTGGGTAATTGATGTGTCCTATTATTATTCAGATAGCAAACAGTCACAGACAAACTTGATAACTTTGTAGTCTCTATCATGTTATTTCAACACAGTGAACCACTGCTCACATGATGTGGGCTGATAAAGACACTGTTCTTTTCTGATATGACATCACATAGGAATTCATTTGCATTTCCTTTTTGGCATATATAGGTCTTGACTAAATTGAGTTTTCTTAAAGTTTCCTCTTTAAAGTGATCTTTGGCATTTGCTATTTTTTGACTTGCCAAGTTATTTGGACTTTCATAATAGCAAAAGTGCAATTGAAATTAGCTGTGAGGAGCAATTTGCTCCCTGCCCACCCCAAATTTTTTGATTTATCTCCCATAGTAAAATCCATGCTTTCATGTTTCTTTCAGAGAAACAGAATTTCTGTAACAATGGCAGATCCATAAAGATGAGTATTGGTCCATTAGATTAGATTAATTTGTTGGAGGAAAGATAGCATTCTTTCAGCTAGCTAATAGCCTCATTACAACAAACTAACATATAGTTAGGCAACAATCTTTCTTTTTCTGTCTTTGCTTAATTATTCATCTTTTGGTTTTGGGTTTTTTATTTGTAATTAGTTTTTATTGTTAATGTTGTTGTTGTTTTGATACATGATTTCTTTGTGTATCCCTGACTCTCCCTGCCTGGAGTGTTGGGTTTAAAAACATATGCCACCATCATCCGACCTATAATTATTTTTTTTAATTTAAAACGATCTTTTTATTTTACATACCAATCCCACTACCCCCTCCTTTCCCTCCCATTTCCTCCATCCTTTCCCCACCTCTGCCTCCAACCATTCCTCAGAGGGTAAGGCTTCCCATGAGGAGTCAACAAAGTCTGTCACATCACATTGAGGCAGGACCAAGGCCCTCCTCCCTGCTGTATCTAGCAAGTGTGGTCCTCTACCACACCAGACAGGGTTTCTCTCTGTAGCTTTGGAGCCTGTCCTGTAACTTGCTCTATAGACCAGATTGGCCTCGAACTCACAGAGATCTTCCTCCCCCTGCCTCCCAAGTGCTGAGATTAAAGACATGGACTACTACCACCCATCTTATTATTATTATTCATTTTTAATATGATCTCACTATGCAGACCAGGCCTCAAGCTCCCCTGCCTCTGCCCCACATGGTTAGGATAAAGTCACATGTCACCTCTGTTGTATTTGTTGGTCTCCATAGCAAAATTGAAGACACTACTCTAGGAAGTCAAAGGGGCCTTTGTTGGAGGAGGGCCTGCTTGATCATCCCAGCCACCCAGCTAGTTTAGCCCCAAAATAACTACACAGAAATTGTATTAATTAAAACACTTCTTGATCCATTAGCTCTAGCCTCTTATTGGCTAACTCTCACATCTTGATTTAACCCATTTCTATTAATCTGTATATTGCCACATGACAGTGGCTTACTGGCAAAGATTCAGCATGTCTGACTCTGGCCGCGGCTCCATAGCATCTCCCTAACTATGCTCTTCTTTCTCCCAGCATTCAGTTCTGTCTTCCCTGCCTACCTAAATTCTTCCCTATCAACAGGCCCAAAGCAGTTTCTTTATTAACCAATGAAAGCAGCACAAAGACAGAAGGACCTCCTATACCAGGCCTTGTTTCAAATCACTTGACTCATCTTTCTGGATCTCAGTTCCCTTGCCCATAAATAAGAAAATTAGTACAAATATGTCAAAGACCCCTTTGCTGAGTGGATAAGCATTATGGCTGCTCCTCTTCTTGGAGATCAAATCTGTCCCATATAAGAAGTACTTTATCCCTTCCAAGTCATGAAGAACATGTAGAATTCTTCAGCTTCTCTGTCATGCAACAGAAAAACTTGCACACTGTGGGTGACGGAGCCCAAGCCTGCCTCAGCCTAGTTTGACATAAGCAATATCATCCCTGTTATCAAGACTGCTCTTCCTATTCTACAGTCTCTCTTCCTAAGTTAGAAAGGGCTGGTGGGGTCAGCAGAAGAGTAAACTTTACAGACAGTAGCAGGGGCCTTGTTCTCAAACCCCTCCTGGGGAATTTTTCCCTTAAGTTTCCCCATGGTGGAATCTGTGGTCAAACCCTTGCCCTGGGTACCTCTGAGGGGCTTTTGGTTTCTCATGTTCTAATTGTTCCTGTTTTGTCTGGGCTGTCTTACAGGTATGAGGCATCTCTGCTGGATTTGGTTCAGTCTCTGAGCCCAAATTCTGCTCCCAAATCTCAGCTCCATCCCTCAAGAGCAGCAGGAGTGTGGAGTGCTTTCCGACCTAGCCCTCAGAAATCGATCTGGAAGAAAGTGGGGATGCGCAGGAGCCCTGAAGACCTGGAGGAGAGTCAGATTCTGGAAGACATATTTTTCATATGACTACAGAATTTCCATAGGAAATATTTGGGTTCCTTTACATGCTGATGTAGGATGTTAAATTACTTAATTGCAAAGCAGCCAAGTCTCTCCTTTCACAGGGATCCTCTTAAGTATCGAATACAAAAATCATCCTAACAAATCAGGGTGGTTTTTATCCAACTAATCAAAAAACAGGCTGCAGGAGGTGGACTTAGGGATAGAATCTTTTCTATGCCAAACAGAGATTAGAAATTTAGGATATTTTCTGCATATCAGGCACCATGGATATCTAGTATCATTTTAAGAGGGTTTTCAATTTACTACTTCAAAATGTTGACTCTTTCCTTACATTAGAAAAGTATCCACTTCAGAAGGGTTCTTCCTTCACCCTTTCTCTCCTCACTGAGAGTGGCTGTTCATTGTGAAATTGGAGTTAGTCACCCTAGTATCACCACTACTTGGGACCCAGTATATGTGAGTCATAGTGGTCATCAACATGGCCATTGCTGCCCCTTACACTAAAAAGTTCAATGATTAGAGGAAAGTTTCCAACCAGACTGTGGTATTAAACTTCATGTGGGAATGGCTGCCTGGAGAAATCTACCTGTGTTCAGACAACCACCCCTCCAGTTTCTTGTTGACTCCAATTCTGTGTATTCTTGTGTACTTCCTCCATAGGTGTGTCTGAGGAAGATGGCACTACCGAAGAGTGGTACCCAGTGGCTATAGTTGGCAGTTTTCCTCTGCTCCTGCTTCACTCCATAAGGATGACTGCCCCAGGGTGCACCAAGTCTAGGAAAGCTCAGCTGAGCATCCTTATTTGCCTAGATCTAAATCTTTCCTCTCCAGTCTGAGCTCAGTCCTGTTGATTCTACCCAGTTTCCCTTCCCTTCAAGACTCTCAATTCCATACTCTTCATCTGAGGCAAATACAAGGGCAAGACTGATTACTGTCGTCATTCGTTCTAGAAGTTGACGGTTCATTGCAGATTCAAATTTTCAAAACCACCCTGAGAGTAACTAAAATAAACTTGTTCTATTTCAAAACACCTTTAGGATACGCCTTTGGAGTGGCAGAAATGGCAGTTAGGTTTCCAGAACCATCTTCTCTCTTTCCTGTGTGTCTCAGACAGCTGACCTATTCCCTTAGACTTGCTATAACCATAGTCACTTGTTCTGGGCATCGGTGTTACTCCAAAGTACGTGTCTCCAGAAGGATGAGAAATGGAATATGATCTCTTTAAGAAGCTTGTTTGCCTAAAAGTTAAAGGTTTGGGGGGGGGGGGTTGCCATACCAGTGAATGGAATTTAATTGCTTCTGTGCCTTAACAACATGGGAAGTTTGTAAAAGGAAAAAAAATCAAATAACAGTTTCTATACTTCACACTCCCTGCCAGTTTTTTTTTTACATTGATACAAGGGTGGTAGGAAGGGAATATGTATATAACTTAGTGTCTTTGTTATTAACTGAATGATATATGTTAACATTTTAATCTCTATTAAATTTACTTCGAGATGTATTTGTTGTTGCAAAGTATTTGGGCATGAGCTAATTGTAGCCTGTGCCACAGAAGAATGGGAAGAAAATAGGAGCCATGTGACCTCTCCTGATAATGTTCCTTCCCTTCAGTGACTGGTTGGGACTTGCTTGACCATCCCCTAGGTATTTCTTCAAAGCAAGGCTGCACACACACTGAATGCCACAGCTAAGGTATTTCCCACCTTGCAAACTGCCACCCTGTGAGAGAAAACTAATCAGTGTTGTAAAATGGAACTGGAGTGTGTCCACTGGACTCCCTAAGTGAGGTCCAAGTGCTTGATTTAAAAAGTCAAGATTAATCAAGGAATACCTTTTGTTCCCATCCCCCTTCCACCTTCCAAGAGGCGCATGTGTCTCTCCAGACCTGGCCCACAGTGGGGACTCATCCAGAGTATTTTAGGTGTCCTGAAGAAGGCCTGACTCTCTCCCTCCCGTCAAATCACTTTTTACTGGCTCTGTGTCAGCATGAGGTTTATTTTAGAGGTTTTCTGGGGAAGGAAAAGGGCCTGAAAGAAGTCGCTACAGTTTGCTAAAGGTATATTAGTTTTAACATTGACAAATGTTTGTGGTAAGTTGATAAATAGTCTATATTGCTATTTTCCTCTTGTGGTTTTGATAATGAATTCTCCCCTTGCACCTTATCTAAAGCTATAACTAAAGCTTTAGAGCAAGAACAGAATTATCTAAGTACTATTCTCTCCTTGTTACTTGTTGGGACAACAGGGGTGCATGGCCATTTGAAAAAAAAAAGTGGAAATAGTGTGCCATATCTCAGCTGGTATTCCCAGTGCAGCTCCATGCCGTTCCCATCACCAGGACATCAGGACTCAATAGGTCCTGTAGCTGCTGGAGTGCACAATTCAATCTAAGCACACTTCTGAGTCCATCTCCTTAACATCTCAGCAAGAAAGATAGAAGTTGTGACCCTGCCTGGTGGGTTTTAGGTTCTTGAAGAATCCAAGCCAGGGTTTGCACAGATTCATAGTTCCAAATCACACCCTTGTGTTCCCCCAAAATAGCCAAAGACCCTGACTTGCTCCCTTCCTTCAGACCAGCCTGTCACCCCCACCTGTACAAGACCTCTGAGCAGCTGCCCCTCAGAGGCCCAGGTAGAGGAGCAGAATCATCAATCAGCCCTCTCTCACACCAGAAATGAAATAAGTAAACAGTTTGCCCAATTGTCAAAAAGATACCTGTGAGTATGCGGAGAAAGCTGAGCATATGTAAAACGGTCCTTATCCTGAGAGGACGGATAAGCAGACAGCTAGAGAACCAGCTTCATAGATTAGTGACCCATTGTGTGGCTTCTTGACATTTCTGCTCCACTTGGTGGGGGGTGGGGCGTCTCACCTCTCAGGCTTCAGCTTTGTAAATATTTTCCTTCCCTGTCATCCTTACCACAAACACACTAAGAACTGAATAAGCTCCTTCTCCTAATCCATCGATGCTGCTGCAATAAAATGCCTGAAACTTGGTCATTTATAAAAGCCTGGAATTTGTTTCTATATTTCTGTAGGCTAGGTCTAGGATGCAGGTACTGATGACAAGGTTGAGTTGTCTGTCTATACTGCATCGTCCAGAGGGCAGGTGTCTTTATCCTTATATGGCTCACGACTTAACTAGCAGATTACCCTAATGTTGAAGCAAACCTCCTTTTATAAGGGCCTTATGGCCATCAATGAAGTAGCCCAGGTTGTCTCTTACCCAACCCCCACCCCACTTATTAACATTGTCACATTAGCAATGCCTGAATTTTGAAGTAGACTTATGCAAACCAAACATGTAGTCCAGAACTTGTCTGCAGCCTCTCCTTTCTGTACCACCGTAAGTCCATTATATTATTATATCCTTTGTGACCAGGATGGACCCACGAGCCTGTTTAATTCATGCTTTTACTGAAAAAAGTGTTTGTTTGCTTGCTTGCTTATTTTTAAGTAACTTCTCTAAGATCCTACATCCTGGCAGTGACAGATCTGGCTACCAGGTTCATAGTCTCTCTACAGCACAGTATCTGCCTTTGTCTGCTTTTCCAGGAAAAGCATTTTTAAGGATTCCATCTATAACTAAGCATTCCACTTCCGTCTCTCAGGAGTGAGCCATTATGTCCTCCTTGGGGTCATTGTCAGTTGGTAGCCCTCAAGGACTGATGCTAGTGTATGGACACCTCACCTGCAGAAGTAGAGGCCATGGGAGACTATCTAAAACTGTCCAAAATGACATGCTTAGGGGGAAACAAACATGCATTTCCAGAATGGCTTCTCTAAATAATAGAAGCTGTCTATCTCTAGTAAAGACTTCTTCTCAAGGACAGTGGCCAAAATGAAATAAGTTGCAGAGGGAGGAAACCAGTTGGTTGGTCCTTGGAAATCAGTAAGAATGATCCATCCCTTATATTACACAGCTCCTTCGTTCTGAGCTGCCAAATCCTAACACTGGTACCCAGATCTTCATCAGTGTTCTTGGGCACTTGAGAGATACTCACTTTACACATTAGGCACTTTGCCGTCTCTGGAAAAGTGGTTAACAGCATGAGCTATGAAACCGTGGTACAGATCTATTGTGAAGAACCAGGTATGGTGGTGCCTACACTTGTATTCCCAGCATTCGGGTGGAATTAGATGGTGGCCCAAATAAGGGCATGTTAAATATTAGACGATGGATTTTAACCTTCACTCAATGGAAAACCTGAGATACTTTGAGATTACTTGTTAAATATTCCTCTAGCATTAGTGGTGTTCTCTTTCAGAGGAGACAAGATCTGGAAAGATAAGTAAAGTAACACCTGTCCAGTGTCTACTAATATTGAGTGAGGCTTGTAGGTAGGTTCTCATTTAACCCACACAACAACTGCTTATAGATATTGGAGGTTGCATCTCAGCTGGTAATTCATGTTGCTCCTAGGTGAACTGGGATTGAAGCTATCCATTCCCCAGCCATGTTCTGTGTTTGAGACTTCTTCTTGTCTGCCAAAGCAGATGAGACATGATGCAGAGATACCAGTTGTCACAATGTTGTCACAGGCAACAGAGAAACTAGAACTTTATTACTGCCAGTTTGTCCCTCTAGTGCTTTCAAGTCTGGAGAGAAAGTATTTGATATACTACTATCATCAAGTTTCCTAATAATTCTTCCTAAGTCTGGATCTTGTGGCAACTCATCCACAGGACAATTGGGGGCAGTAGACGAGATAACTGACTCATGTGCTAGGGCCTAAGTAGAAAGACTTCAATTCCTGAAGAAGAATGTATACCAAAAGAAACTGGAATGCCACTGACTGATGAATAACAAGGCCTTCAAGAGAAAGACCAGAAGTAGAGACAGGTCAGAAATTGATTGGCCAGCTCTCTCATAGAAGGATGTCAAGGAGAGTTAGCAAGGTGGTAGGCCCCATTAGTGTCAAGGACAGTGAAGGAAAGGACTTCAGAGGCAAAGATGTATTCATTAGTCCTCATACATTGCTGATGGGAATGTAAATTAATGTGCATTCACTTGAGAAAAATTGCCTGGCAGGTTGAAAATGTCAAACAGTTCAAAAATGACCCAGCAAGTTCATACCTGGATATTTCCAAGAGAAATGAAAAGATGTAGAAACAACTCAACTGTCCGTCAACCAATTAACAGGTAAACAAATTATGGTATCTCCATATGCCAGAATATTACTTGATAATGAAAGGAAATGAATACACACTACTAAATAGATTCAACTTGAAAACATGAAGCTGAATGAAAACAAGCAGTCATAAAAGACCATATGATACCATTACATTGAAATCCACATAGGCAGAAGGTAATCCACGAACAGTTGTTGGTGTAAGGTCCTTCTGTTTATGTATTGCTTTCATTGGTTAATAAATAAAGAAACTGCTTGGCCTGATAGGGCAGAACTTAGGTAAGCAGAGAAGACAGAACTGAATTCTGGGAGGAAGAAAGCAGAGAGAGAAAGAGACACCATGGAGCCGCCAGGTCAGACATGCTGAATCTTTCCCGGTAAGCCACAACCTCGTGGTGATATACAGATTAATAGAAATAGGTTAAATCAAGATGTGAGAGTTAGCCAATAAGAGGCTAGAGCTAATGGGTCAAGCAGTAATTTATTTAATACAGTTTCTGTGTGGTTATTTTGGGTGTAAGCTAGCCGGGTGGCCAGGACAAACAAAGGACCCTCTCTTCATCGACAAGTTGTTATTCAGGAAACAGCAAAGGAGCACCCCACATTTCAGCAGGTGAAAGCTTCACATGCCTCCCACAGCATCGCTTCTACACTCAAAACTGAAAATCACTGTGTCAAGTTGTGGTAACCTTGGTTAGTTGTGTGAAGAGGGGAAGGACTCTCTCATTGGTATATATGTGCATCCGACACAATTACATCTGTGCTTAATTTGAAAATTCACATATGAGAGGTCATATGGAAACCTACAGTAGACAGTTCTTCACACACACACAGAGAGAGAGAGAGAGAGAGACACGAAATCTAAATGGGATCACCAAATAATGGGGGAGATGAAACCCCAACTTGGTATCTCTCACCACCAAGTGAAACCTCCAATGGCAGAAATGCATTACATTTAATTGAGTTGTTGGGTAATAGGCACCATGAAAACCCCCAAACAAACCAGGCTTTTGTCAAGCATATTGATTGCTCCCCACAAACTGATGGTAAGGCCATATTACTAAAGATAACACCTACATAACTCACTGAACACAGAGAAGTTAAGCTACCTAGATTCTTTATCCCTATTGGCAAGTGTTCATAATATTGCAACATACTTTGTATGATACAAAAGGGGAAAAATAAATACCAACTCATCTTCAAGGCCTTTTAAATACAATGGTGTTCTACCTATATGACATGCTGGCGCACTAGTGACACAAGAAGTTACGGGAGTAACCAACCACTATCTGGTAAGATTTAAGGCCTCTATGAGATGGAATCCATACCTGATATTGCTCAAGTGACCAATAACCTAAGACCACGAACCT